TTTTTAGTTTGCTGAAAATCTCATTAATAAATCGGCGGAGAGAAAGTATCGGGAGGTATCATTCGTCTATAGTTCCACCCATCACTGGTCATACTCATTTAGTCATGTAAAATATGCCTTCCTCACTTTGATATACTTACGTTTTGACACATCGAGTAAGAAATACGACGTGATAGTGAGAATCATGAATTAAATATATTAATATACTGCAACTAGAAATTCATTTCAGACGAATGACAAAATTAGCAAACTTTATATTTAAAGCAAAACACCTTTAAAATTTCTATTTAATGCGAACATTATTCCTTGAATATCACTCTCGACTTACTGATTTGCATCAATAATGAAATTCCATCCAGTAACAACGTACCATCTGATTTTTTGTGATTAGAATTAATGCAACAACCCAAAGTTAACCACCTGCTAAAAAACGTTGGGAGCATTTGATTTGAATAGATATGTGCTGAATCTTTATACATTTTAATATAAAAATATTCTCTAACTAAAAAGTGATAGGCTGTGTTATCTGTTGTTCACAATGTAACGCTCATAATTCATTCTTTCTCACGTAGCATATTTTATAAAAAGATCGTGTGGTTATCTATGCGGAGGCAGTAAGATTAAAGTTCAACTCTGATGGTGAACCATGCCGTGGCAGCCAGCCACCCACCACGCTGAAATATTCAACGTGTTGTTTCAACTTATGCTAATATTGTACATGGATGCTACTATCTTAAAGCTCACTGATCAAGTCCCGCTACTCCAATAAAACTGATCAAGTCCCGTTACTCCAATAACAAAGTTTTGCTAGGCTCGGAATGATAATATAATACCGCGGTGAAGTGTTGCAAAAAAAAAATCTGCAATTCTTTGCATTCTCATATACTAGCTCTCGGCTAAAAATGTATATTCGCGAAGTAAACAGAAGAAGACTTAAAAGCGAGAATAATTTCTGCTGGATACCTATTTTATTATGTGAAGAAAAAAAAATGATATCCATTTTTTTTCCTTGTGACGTTTATTGAATGAATTTGATATACTGTAAAACTTCTCATTTCTATCATATTTGAACAGTTATCACATTCAGTTCCTTTTCCGTGTGTAAATGAAAGGTTAGCCGTTTTCTTTTAATGAAAATGTATATAAAGATACAGCATAAAAACGACATATATATATTATTTTTATCAGATACATACAGACATAATTGCATTTCCAACACAGTTAAATTTGACTACAGGCAACTGTATTGACGGAGTGAATGAACTCTTCACATTCCTTCCAAATGTATCCACAATAATCCGCAGAATATAGTTTTTTACTTTTTGCGGTTGACCACAATCCTCTTTGAAAATTAATAAGTTGTTTCTTTTCTTGCCTGAACTTTTATTTTCATTGAAATAAATATAAAACACGTATGATTTAAACATGAAGGACGGTTTGAATGAAGAAAGCAGAGCATCACAAACACAGCATGGTTAGCAACTTTAAGACGCAGTAACGGGAGATTGGAAATAAAAACAATAGGGAGTTGTGTGTGTATGTGTGTGGGAGTGAGTGTGTGTATGAGAGAGACAGACAGACAGATAGACAGATCAACGGGAAAAGTTTTCGATGAAATTGTTTGCCATGTTTAATTCATTTATAAAACATTTAATATTTGTTTCTTCATCTTCTTACGTAGCTAATGATTTAGTCAGTGGAAATTGATCATCGATTTAAAGCGATAGCCGACCGTTGATTTATACATGTGTATTAATGTACCTAGGGCAGATCACAATATGATACAGTATTGGTATATATAATTGTTTTTTTTTACCAACACTTTAAAGAAATGTTATTTCAATAGACAGTCCTTTCTAGGCACACCTTTATAAACAAAGGAAGTACTCAGAAAGAAAGCTTTTCAAACAAATCTGCGTTCCTTAATTACTGTATATTAGCTTCGACAAGGTGCTTCTGCCCTCCAGTGTTAATAATTATCAAAGGATATATCAGATTCCATCAATTTAGACGCAGTAAAAACGAGTTCTTCACACTGGAGATAAGGCTTTCGCTAGAAATCCATCTTTTGCGGACTCCTTATAACAACGCAACTTAAAGTCTCTCTCTCTCTCTCTCTCTCTCTCTCTCTCTCTCTCTCTCTCTCTCTCTCTCTCTCTCTCTCTCTCTCTCTCTCTCTCTCTCTCTCTCTCTCTGTTACTTTGCAAATGATGTTTTCTCCCCTTATTACCTTTTTGTGCACCCAATAATGCCTACAATTATTAATTTATTATTATTATTATTATTATTATTATTATTATTATTATTATTATTATTATTATTGTTGTTGTTGTGGTTGTGGTTGTTGTTGTTCCATTTCGCACCTTTACATGCTTTGATATCATCAAGCTGTTATTTTCTTGGTCTTTGATTAAGTCAAATAAACCAGGAAGTTACAGTCATAAGCATATCGTACACAAATCATTAAAAGCATTTCGAATCGGTCTGCACACCAAACACGCGTTGTTGTCTCGTTAAAAGACATGGCCTACGATAGACCTTAAACAATAATTTGCAAAATGACAATTACCAAGACACAAAAATGTACGTTTCAATTAAAACAGATCTTCCATGTTGTTTTCATTGGAAATTGACACCTGACATCATTACGGAAGAGCGTAGAGCCCTAACTAGAGAATAATCGTTCACAGTCACCAATATTGCATCTTGATGTTATTATTTTTATAGACCTTTCATCTGACGGATTCAGACCATAATATAAAATTCTGTGTCTTAGTCTAAGTCAATAATGATATTTTTCGATTTTTGTGGTTAGTGATTTTCTAGATTTCATGCTAATTTTCAGAACATGATAGAATGATTATGTACATGAGGGCCAGTCTATCTGGTGGAGGAAGAACCAACATGCTGGCTTAACCCGAGACTCGAACCCACGCGGACGAAGCTAAGACATCAGTGATCTGTATTTTTGGCCACGAGGCACACTAGATAAGCAGCACATAATAGCGGTCACATGAAACTCACTAGCAAATTACATTTCGTGGTGACAGTTGAATTTACATTTTTGATATCGTTTTTTTTCCTACTACGATAACAGATGCCTCCATACAACACTTCTACTAAATTGCAGACCAGGCTCATAAAGTTGTTAATTGCCTATGTACACAAAGAAATTTCCCACGAGAGGTTCTTCCGGTAATTACAAGTATTCTAAGGAAAACGATCTGGCTCTGAAGCAATTCTTGCAAAGCAATGTAGACCCCCAATGCATCTTACGAAAATACATGGGCTCTAGTTAGATTGAACAATAATTATATCTAGGCCTTGAATTTAGCATAATGTTGAAAAGACGACTTGCTGCTTTTGTCGTTTTATTCCTTGACGGCATCTAAGATGTATCGAATCCCAGAGAAATGAGATTGCAAAGGATTTATGTTTATTTCAGGTAACGTCGAGACACAAATGAGACTCAAGGTGCATTAAAACTTTGGCATCGTAATAATTATGTTAGGAAACCAGTTATTTTAGATACCCAAAACCAAATAGGATTCACCAACGCTATATACTTTAATCCTACAACATAAGATGTATCATATAATATTTTTGTTTTGATGCTACGTTTTACAGCCTAATTAACGCTCTTGTACAGCTTGTTCCGAGTTTACTGTTTTCGAAATGAGAAACGACATTTTCAGGATTATCTCACACTTGGAAGCATATATCGAAGCTTTTCACAAACTAATCATGTTGATTTATGCGGACTATACATACTTTGTTGTCTTGTTTTCGAATAAATTCAAATTCGCACACAGCCTCTGTCTTCGTGGGATCGAGTCTTAGATTCGCTAATGTAGGTATGTGAGAAAGCTTGCCAGTAGCTTCTCGTGGGTCGGTGGTTCTTTCCGCGGGTTTCCAGGTTTCTTCCTCCAACATTAATACTGACCGCCATGTATAGCCAATCGTGTGCTAAAAAAAGCGTTAAGCCACAAACAACAACAACAACAACAAATTGGCACACAGACAAACAAATGCGATTTCAAGTTCCGTTAACGTATATTTCAGTTGTATGGAACACGATGGAAGCCGGGAATGCCGAAATTGGTTAAAAAGGATGACAAATGTCTTGAACGAAACGAAGCTATTTAACCCACATTTTTCAATATTAGTATCACCAAATACAATTTCGGCACTCCTGGCTTCCATCGCATTCCAACCAGACGAACGGATGAAAATGCGTTGGGTTGCTGCTGTCATATTTTGACTGGGTCAGGATAAAGACAGTAAAGTATAATCAATAAGAACAAAATCTGTGGAAGAGTGTCGATATGGACTGCCAAGTTTTGTGAGATTTTCCTGAAAATTTGACCTCTCTTTCTCCAGACAGTCGACTTGGGGAAAACTCTACACAAGGCCATTGTTTAGGTAGGAAGACGTAGCACCAAAACAAAATTATACTATACGTCTTACGTTACAGGGTTATATATACTTGTAGATAGCCTTTAGTGCGGCCGAATGATTTTGATATTATCGTTAGGGTCTAAACACAAATTAACTTGTCACACCTACAGCCTCTATCACCGTATATACTCCTTCTAAGTCGAATCAAGCTGTAAACATCAAATATCCAGATCTCCGTAGCATAATGCGAATGCATATCAGGGTCTATGTTGATTGGTCTACAGATTACTCTTTGAAAATGCACAGATCCAGATATATCGGCACATTATATACGATGATAGATCTGAGTTGGTGCGAGTTGCAGTAGGATTCGACTTATAGACGAGAATATACGGTATCGTTACACCCATTGCATTTCCCCATGATATTGTTGCTATTCGCGCTACATAATGTTAAAGTACTGCTTTGGCAACAACTAGAGAATCACCATAAAAATTCTGAGTTTTGTATTCCTCAATGCTGAATCCGGAGGCCAGTATAACAAAGTAATTACTTGAATTATATTTCTAACCAAACTCGAACTGTGTGAACTTTCATTTACCGATCCGGTGGCCTAGTGGTTAGAGCGTCCGCCTCAGATGTGGGAGGGAGGTCGTGGGTTCCATCTCCGGTCGAGTCATACCAAAGACTTACAAAAATGGTACTAACAGCTGCCTCGCTTTGCGCTCAACATTAAGTCATTAGTGTTAGAACTGGTTGGCCTGGTGTCATGATGATGCTACATGTCTGCAGCAATGTTGCCCCAGTGCTAGACACCAATATAAACTGCCACACTACAAATATCGTAGCGATATGATTGAAAAAAATGTTAAAGCTACGCTAAAAATCATAATCACATCACATCTGTATTAATATCAACGTATGCCCAAAGCTTTGTATATGCTGGAAAATGATGTTGGCCACAGCCCTCATATTATGCTTACGAAGGCAAGCGGCCGCTCTCCGATAATTGTAGTAAGCTTTACTTTTATTTTACGATTGTGACAAAATGAAAAGAAACATTATTATTATATATATACACCCTGGCAGATAACCGACTTTCTGTTGTTTATATTAAAGAATACTGTATACTACTTTCTGTTGTTTATATTAAGGAATAATGTATACTGCTTTCTGACATCTAGTAAAGGAGATAATCTCTCTCTCTCTCTCTCTCTCTCTCTCTCTCTCTCTCTCTCTCTCTCTCTCTCTCTCTCTCTCTCTCTCTCACACACACACACACACACACACACACACACACACACAGCACTAATGCAATTCCGGTACTGACCGTATTCTAGACACAAATTTTCTCATTTTGAGACACGGATTAATATGACAGCTGTACGATATATTGCAATGGTATTTCTATATTATATGTATTCTGTCCTTCCAGTATCATTAGATATATATATATATATATATATATATATATATATATATATATATATATATATATATATATATATATATATATAGATATATATATATATATATATATATATATATATATATATATATATATATATATATATATATATATATATATATATATATATATATAGATATAGATATATAGATAGATAGATAGATAAACAGCTGATCCAGGAAAAGGAAAGACAGGGATTTCTGGCTTATCATTCTCTGACGTTGAGTTGACCGTTATTATTTTTTTTAAAGGATGGACACATCTCACGTATTACAGCTGATTTTTCCTTATATTTTAATTCCATGTTGTTCTTCTCAGAGCAAGTTGAAGTTGGTTTGGTTAAATTGTGTGTGCATGAGCTTGCTGACACTGTGAAACAATAACCCATGACTTTTCACTTTTTGTTTTTGATTGGTCGATCAGGTTCTGTACATCCTGACCAACGGAATAAAATGTATTATGTTTCCTCTATCGGACATCTGACTGCCAGATGTGCTTCATCAGATGCGACTTTCCAACCGTGCAAGCTTGCATTATAAACATTGCAGTAGAACGTCTTCGACACGGCATGCAAAAGGCGTACTTGGTTTTGTGACATGAGTGTCTCTGAAAGCTGATTGCCTGCTGCTGGTGGTTATATTTGACATGCTCCATATTATCGCCGTTAACAATGAATAATTTTACGGACACGGAAATTGCATTTACTTCATCGTCAGACACGTTACTCGCGTGACCTTGATTATTGGCAGTATCAAAGTCCACTTCATCATGCTGTCAACGTGGATCGATATATTTGACAGATTTGAAACTACTGAAGAAATTCTCGGTTCTGGTTCATTATGAACAAAGGACATCTACTTGTATGAGTATTGATATTTAGTGACACGATTTGCGGCTTGTGAAAAAATGTAAATATTCTTGGCTAGGTGATTCTGTGACCTGTGCGCTCCTTTTAAAATATAGACCTTTTTGAATGTAGACCCTTTTTATTTGTATGCTACAGGTCTAGACCCTTTTGGATGTATGCTACTTGTCCAGCACAAATAAAACGTTATGTTCTACTTAAGATTTCCAGTTGTTTTTTATACGGACAAGGGCAACATTAATTATATTTTAGCTCCTTAATTCATCATTTATTTATTTTTAAAATTGTCTTCATCTGTTTGAAATATTTGAAATAAATTATTATCCTCTTCCCCTCCCCGTACCTTCGACTTCTTTAACTTCGCCTCCTTTACACCACTTTTGCCCCATCACTTTGGAACGGTGATTTGTAACATGGAGTGGTTATTTGTAATATGGATAAGAAATCATTAATTGACTGGATCATTAAAAAAAGACCTGGTGTGATAAAGGTTTTGCGAACCCAAACTAAAAACACGGTACCGTGGCGAATTAAATTTTTCTGCCTGACTTTCAACCTTCCTCCGAGCGGTGGCCCCCAACAGTATTGCCGACGATACATTATCTCTGTCATATTAAACAATTTCACGCTTACTGTCAGACACGGAGGGTGATTTCTTAGTGTCAGGTGATTGCATGTTATCCGCGTATGAACACGACAATGCCATGTTATTTCACAACTGAATATGTAAAATTTCATTTCCAAAAAATGATAATGAATGATTCCGTTATACTTGTAATTTCACTCAACCCAAGGGCATGTCAAGGTCACAAAGAAATGCAAAATTGAAATAAAATGTCCAAACTATCATGCAGGCTGGTGATATAAGCCTTGGAGGTTGGTGTGGAGGAGACGTGTTCTACATTATTTAGGTCAGAGAGAAGTAAGTAAAAGTATAATATACGTTGTATCGAAGTGAAGCTGTAAATATTTAAATTATGTCCCATTAAGGTGATATTTACGTTTCAGATATCCATGTGCTCTGTAGGTAAAGATTATATTAAAATCCTATCAGACATAATCTATAATGGAAAAGAATCTTGGGAAATAAACATGCCCTAGATAAAATTTGGAACTTTGACCATAAATTCAAATTGTAATAGAAACAAAATATAAGTCTAATCATCCTCTACCATAAAATTAAACATTCCATTTACTAACTTTTCGAAAAGGGCATGGAAACCCCCCTTGTAAACAGTTTGCCAAGCTCAATCTTCAAAAGGTTGCTTAGGTACCTGTATGTCCATATATCTGGCAAGGGGTTATTTTGTGTTATCTAAACCTAGCCTCTGTGTGGGATTTTGATGGAATTTCCAATCTAAAAATATCATCTTACCATCTTCTCTAAAGATAGAATTTCAAGTTAACAGTACTATAAATGGGTTATGATATGTTGAGTAGGTATGTATCAGTGATATCATGGTATTATAAACGGTACAATCACATAAAAACAAAATGCCTTTTTGTCAACCTCTTAGTGAATGCCAGATTAGTGTGTCATTTGTATAGCCATTTAAAACTGGCATGTTGTCACTTCACTTGCTAATCAGTTTGTTTTCTAACTGCCACTTGGATCACAGTAGACATTTCTTGAAGAAAGGCAAATTCCTGACTGTGGCAAAGATGCAAACAATTCCGTTTTGTAAAGAGTCGAATGGGAAATATGGTTGATTTTACATTTGTGGTCAATTGCATAATTACAATTCCGTTTTATAAAGAGTCGAATGGGAAATATGGTTGATTTTACATTTGTGGTCAATTGCATAATTACAATTCCGTTTTATAAAGAGTCGAATGGGAAATATGGTTGATTTTACATTTGTGGTCAATTGCATAATTACAATTCCGTTTTGTAAAGAGTCGAATGGGAAATATGGTTGATTTTACATTTGTGGTCAATTGCATAATTACAATTCCGTTTTATAAAGAATCGAATGGGAAATATGGTTGATTTTACATTTGTGGTCAATTGCATAATTACAATTCCGTTTTATAAAGAGTCGAATGGGAAATATGGTTGATTTTACATTTGTGGTCAATTGCATAATTACAATTCCGTTTTATAAAGAGTCGAATGGGAAATATGGTTGATTTTACATCTGTGGTCAATTGCATAATTACAATTCCGTTTTATAAAGAGTCGAATGGGAAATATGGTTGATTTTACATCTGTGGTCAATTGCATAATTACAATTCCGTTTTATAAAGAGTCGAATGGGAAATATGGTTGATTTTACATCTGTGGTCAATTGCATAATTACAATTCCGTTTTATAAAGAGTCGAATGGGAAATATGGTTGATTTTACATTTGTGGTCAATTGCATAATTACAATTCCGTTTTATAAAGAGTCGAATGGGAAATATGGTTGATTTTACATTTGTGGTCAATTGCATAATTACAATTCCGTTTTATAAAGAGTCGAATGGGAAATATGGTTGATTTTACATTTGTGGTCAATTGCATAATTACAATTCCGTTTTATAAAGAGTCGAATGGGAAATATGGTTGATTTTACATTTGTGGTCAATTGCATAATTACAATTCCGTTTTATAAAGAGTTGAATGGGAAATATGGTTGATTTTACATTTGTGGTCAATTGCATAATTACAATTCCGTTTTATAAAGAGTCGAATGGGAAATATGGTTGATTTTACATTTGTGGTCAATTGCATAATTACAATTCCGTTTTATAAAGAGTCGAATGGGAAATATGGTTGATTTTACATTTGTGGTCAATTGCATAATTACAATTCCGTTTTATAAAGAGTCGAATAGGAAATATGGTTAATTTTACATCTGTGGTCAATTGCATAATTTTACAGTACACGATGCCCTAGACTGACTAGAGTCTAAACTAGATGTTTGTATAATGAAAGTCAACATGACTGTTTCAACTACCGTACTACTTCTTGTTTCAATTACCGTATTACCTCTTGATAGGTAATATGTATTATCTTTTCTGTGGAAAGTGCAGCTCAGACCTATAAAAGAAGCATTTCACTTCAAAAGAATTTCATTTCGAATGAAAGCATACAGTATTTACTAATATGCATATATTAGCGTGATAGACAAAATGAAACCTACTGCGACAGTATCAATAACGGCAGCATACTTTTAGTTAAGAGTCATCACAAATAGGATTCTCGTGACACTGTCACATACAAGACAGTTTTCCTCGTAAACATTTTGTTCACTTGGGATCATACAAGTAACAAGAGTACATACAAAAACATTGAGAATGCGTTTCTTTAGATAGTAAATAAATTAACGATATGTATCATATTCTAACGCATGTGTTGTATAA